ATATATATATATTCAACAATTCCTTTAATTTCTCATAGCACTATACATAAGATTCATGGTATATGCCACCTTAGTACAAAGTCTGTGTCTTTAGTCAATTCAAGCCCAACTCAAGCTGAAGCAAGAAGATTGCTGAGAACTTGAGGCCCAAAGCATAGTCTTGACCAATGTGCCATCCCTAACATGCTTGCCTAAAGTCAGGTCATGACCGAGAACAGGCTATATATAGATTGGTCCTGCTCAAAGGCCATGCCTCTAACCTTATGTAGAGCAATAGCATAGCAATGGCATTGTGTGACACATTTCCTGGAGAAACACAGAAACACAACACACTCATCGACTGGCCCCAGAAAGAGCGCCCACAACAGACTTTGATGAACCAATGATTCTTGTATTGGGGTCACTAACAAGAGTGTGGATGAGTAGTTACTTACAAGGAGCAGTGATGACTGACAAAGGCAGCTATATCACCAGAAAGCCCAGCCCAACATGATGGCAGCTCAAAACTGCAGCTATGGAGTGTTCTTCCAGCTCTCTCTCTCTCTTTAGGAGGTTTTCCAGATCAGAATCTTGTTTGTTTTTAGACAGGATTTCTCTGTGTATCCCTGGCTGTTCTGGAACTTATTCATTCAAGTTGTAAGAGCAAGTGAGAAAAGGCCTAAGCTAAGGCCAAGCTTTTATAACTAATAAGTCTGTTATTTGTGATCTGGCAGCCCAAAGAAAAATCTGTCTATGGTCTATAGACCAGGCTGGCCTCAAACTCACAGAAATCTTCCTGCCTCTGCCTCCCAAGTGAGGAATTAAAGGTGTTCGCCACCACCATCCTCCCTGAACAGAATCTTAACCTCAGTAACTGTTAACTGCCATATGTAACATCTTGAGGGACCCTCAAGAATCTTCCAAGTTTTTTGTTCTCTGGGCATGTGACCTTCTGTTACCATCTGAGGCTCTTGAGCCTCCATTTCCTTCCTGGAGCAAATGTTTCAATTTGGAGGGAATAGTGCAATTAGAAGGAAAATGCCTTTCAGCAAGCGGCTATATAGGGAAGAAGTAGATGGTCTGGGCCAGAATTCCCATCTGAGTTATATTACACATGTGGGAACTTGGACATCAATGAATGTGAGCTATTGTATCTAATTATACCTTGTCATCAAAGAGGGCAAAATCCCCACACTTTCCCCTTCTGTGGAAGTTACCACTTCACTACTAAGTACAACAAGATTCAGCTTTGCTCTATGACCAGTGGGAGCATAGACGAAAGGAGAAGACAGATAGTATGTTGAATTACAACCTTGACATAATCCAGAGCCAGATACAATTGGAAGCTGAGGCAGGAGGATTATGAATTCTAGATAGCCTGGGTTACATAACAAGTTGTAGAGTCATTTTCAACTATGTATTAAATACTAGAAACTGGAAGGGAACAGGTACGAGTCTGTATGTTCTTATATTTGCATTGTTTTATCTGTATATTTCATTCCATTCTATTTGTTCTATATGTGAGTATGTGCACACATGCAATGGCACACGTATGGAGGTCAGAGGACATCTTTTAGGAGTTAATTTTGTCCTTTCATCCAGTGGGTCCCAGAGATCAAACTCAGGTTACCTTAGCAACAAGTATCTTCACTTGCTGAGCCATCTCACTGGCCAACAGCTGCATTGTTTGTTTGTTTGTTTGTTTGTTTTTGTGGTTGCTGTTGTTTTTGGTTCTTCAGACATGGTCTCACACTACCACAGATGGATTTTTTAATTGACTGTCTATATATAAAAATGACCTAAGCATGGGAGCACGGAGAGAAAATTAGCAGTATGACTTCAACTGGACTAGACCGCAGGTGGCTAGATGCTGTGGGCCTGGAGGAAACAGGAAGGAAGGCCGAGACTGGAGGCCAGCCAGAAGTGTCTGGGAACAGTCCAGCTGTGTGACTCTTTAGTTAGCATAGGCTTTGTCCAGCCAGATGTCCTCAGCATCTCCTTGGGGGTTTTTCCCCTTGAAGAATTTGACTACTCATTCTGAAGTTGTCTTAAATGTTTTTCATAATCACACATATTCCTCAGAGGCCAAATACATTTTTCAAATTTATTTATTTTTGTTATTTTGGGGACTGAATGGAGGGCCTTGCCCCTACTAGGTAAGTGCTCTATACTGAAATAAATCTCTGCCCCTCAAATCATTATTTTTTATTTTTCCTCAAAGAGGGGGTAAGACAGGATTTTTCTGTGTAGCTTTTGAGCCTGTTCTAAAATTTGCCCTGGGTTCAGTCCTCAGCTCAGAAGAAAAAAAAAGACAAAACTGAC